GTTCGCCCTTACATTGGTGTTAGGGCGACATCCATACAACACCTGTCAACTGTGCTGCAGTGTGGGTATGTCTCGCAACGCGCTCGGAAGATGCGATGTTGCTAGATGCATTTTTTTGGTAAGTCGTAAATTTGACAACGTCGCACATTTTAGTTGCTTCACTAGTTACCGAGTTTTAGTCAGGTTTTAAATTTATGCATACGTACGCTTGAATTATTGTAAATTTTTGGAGTATTATACATAGCATGAAGTGAGTTTAGAACATAATGGTATTCTAGATGTTATACTCGATGCTGGTATTTCCAAAGTTGTTTAGGTACCTATGTATAATTGATAAGGAAAATCATTTTGTTAAATTATGCCGCAGTACTTATTAAACTTGTGTATGTAGGTATGTAATAGAAGCCTTAACAATTTCTGGTTTTACTTCAAAATTGGCTATATACGTACTTAAGATGAAGTCAGTTCAAAATATTTAAATGAGTAAAAACATGGGTAAAACGCATGTCACACCATTTTATTTATTAATTTAAAAATAACGTTTGATAATACCACATTTCGCGTGATTCACATCATTTGTCCTACATTTTATAGCGATACAACCTGTTATGAAAATGACGATAGGTAATCGCAAAATAATAACACGTCTGGTCGCGATTCGACTAAAAACAGGAGCGTTCTCAGAATTCGGTTCACCGCTACGACCTCCACGCTAAAGTCAAGTTGAGACTTATAATTAGTGCTTATGTCTTACAGAACTAAGACAAGCATGCGTATTACATAAAAACATTGTATCTGGCTCCAGCATATTCGGATATTGTGAGGTGTGCTTATTAAGTGGAGATTTTGATTACGTAAGTATTTGTCCTCCAATGGGAAAATATTACTTTGCACCCGATACCGTATCATAACAAGCAAAGCCAGCGACATAGAGCTATCCATTCATCCAATTTCATCCAAATTTGTGCAGTCGTCTCGGCGTAAATACGTAACAACATATAAAACTTTGTCATTTTGTAATGGAAATGTAAAAAATATCGTTGAAACTCATCATAATAATTAATCGAATTTGTACAAGGTGAACAGATTTTTATCTTCAAATCAGCCGTGCGACTGTTTTGTTCATGAACATGAGCTCAGCTTAATTTTAAATTGGGCACCTATAGCATGTACCCAACAATAAAGAAACAATATTTTTTTAATTTCGATTAATATTTTTACTGTTTCTCTATTTCAGCAATCATTAGAATAAATACAATATAGGCACAGAGATGTATACAAATTTTGTTTAATATATGAATTGTGTATGACGTGAGGAGGGCAGGTGGAAGACGTTTCTTATATTTAAGCATATATTTTCGCTGCTTGGCAAAATGAGCTGCACCTGGTATTATTGCTTACGCATTGTTAAGTTTGCACGTGGATATTATTAGTAAGTATTTCTTACGTCTTTTGTTCGTCAATAAACATTTATAGCTTTTTTCGTAAGACAAATAAGATGGTATTCGCTTCGCTATTGTCTATGGTTTTGTGTAAAAAATCACACTCAATAATATCTTTTACGAAGAATTCAATTTACCGGATTTTTAGAAGCGTGGTATATTTGTCTTCAATTATCGAAATTTACCAGCAGTATGGTGGATTCATATTTTTGGTGTCAATAAATCTGCCGTCCGCTACCTAAAACGTGGCTTTTTTTGAGATATAAAAAAACCATAACCCAGTTTTGAATATTGAAATTGTTTAATGACATTTCAACTATGCATCGTTAGAATAAGTTCCGTTAAGTCGAGCAACTTAACTAATTTTAACTGTTTTTAAAAGAGTATCTTTTGCTATTGAAAACGGATATTTGACCATTTGTCACTTAGTCATGTTTTGTTAGTGGACGGCAGAAATAGGCTCTTCAACCTATACTTATTCTGACCTTTGTTTTATTTTTTTATTTTAGATTGTTCAATGGCGTTTTACATAAGTGTAACAAAAATAGGTTATGTTTGTTAATAAGGCTAATAACAGGTCGGTCGTTCCGTGTTAGTAGAAGGCTAAAATAATTAGAATAAAGAAAAAGTAAGAATGGATACTCTATAAAGAAGAAAATATCATTTGTAATTAAGAGTTATATACACATGCAGTAGTACTCATGCATCTAGTATTTATGTCAAATTGAAAAAGGATAGTAGATTATAGTAACGCGTTGAGTGTGTGTGACCTATTTCAAGAAGTTTTTGGTATTTGAAAATACATAATTTTAAATAAAACTGTTAAAGTGGGTCAAAATAAGTATTTTAAATTATAAAGTTGTAACAAAATAAATTGTATCCATTTTAAAGAATAAGTTCTGTACTTTAAAAACATTATACTTGGTTATCCAAGTAAAAAGTAAAAAGGTATTTGGTACGTAAAAAAGTTTACTTATATTAGTAAAGAAAAGTAACTTTTGCCTGGTATTAATGTAGTTAATTGGCATCAGTTGAGCAGAGTAGGGTAAGGGGGAAAGTTGTTGGCTCAACTTTGTCAGTGTTTATTGCGCGCCCTCATAAATGTTATGAATGATACAGTAGTGCGGATTAACCAGCCCGTTTGACATGTATTACACTCGTTTACACAATAAGAAGTCAACATATTTAACAATTTCATGATTTGTTTTCAAAATTGTGAAAAAAGTACTGGTTACATATCTACCACAATTTAGGGTTTTGAATATGTAGATTTATAGACATGAAATTTCTGCGTTAACTTCATAATTAATAAGTAATAGGTATTTAGTATAAACAAAGCTAAATTGTTTGTAGACGTGAACAAATACGGTGGAAATTTCTACTAATAAAAAGCAGTTATTTGAGGATAGCGGTGGTAGCTTATGTGGTTTGACCTATTGCCTTGCAAGCAGAGGGTCGTGGGATCGAATCCGGTCTTGCATTTCAGAATTTTTCAGATTTATGTGCGAAATTTAATTAAAAATTTACCGTGAGCGTAAAGAAACATTGTGAGGAAATCTGTTCACCTGCACGCCTGATGTGTGTAAAGTTCCCAATCAGCATGGGCCCGCATGGGAACGATGAACCAAGAGGCCTGTGCCTAATGCTAGGACTATATATAGGCTAATTATTATTATTATTATTATTATCATATTTAATTGAGGAATAATGTTATACCCAATTTATTCCGAAAAATCACCACGCTCATTATTCCTTAGTGAAATTACTACAAATCAGTAATTGTTGAAATAATTAACAGTTGTTATTATTTTCATAATTGTATGTAAAAAATTATTTTTCTTTAAACTATGACAGTTTTTTTTTATAATATAATATAATAAAAAGTATTTTAATGATAACCAGTTAACGGGGTGACTTAATTATTTATTTGTAAGGAATTAAAAATGCTCCATGGTGGGATGTAATTACAGACAAAAACACAAACTTATTTTAGACAATAATTTGGTCCCGCTAAATAACAGTGTACTTAATGGTACACATTTCTATATTGCCTGGTGGTGTGAATAAATGCTGCAGCAAACAATGGTTCATCGGGTTTCGACAAATTAATGACATGGTGTGATGTTGTGGATATACACAATGTAACCAATATTTACTTATATTATACAAATTTATTAAATTTTATCGTTTTGCAATAATATATATTCGTTTTGTAATAAGTCTGTGGTTTGCGGGTAAGAGTTTAAGACCGTGGTAAATTATGTCAATATAAAAGAGCAGTTAAACATTAGATGCCTACTATGAAATATTTCGGTGGTTATATAAGGCAGTAATGCAAAATAATTTTAAAACAGAATCAAGCAGGTGAATAGATGTAGAGAGTAGAGAGGGTCCGAGTGTAAAATCGAACAGGGTGCGCGGATAAGGAAGTGATCGGCATAGTAGTCCGAGAAAATCAATGTCGGCACCCCTCATAGTTTGCATGGGTCTCGTGTCCGGCCGGCAACTACGCGCTCTAGCCTGATGCCAGCGAGCACTAGCGCTCCTAAATGTGCATTGTTTTCGAAAAACTTCCGTTTATCACGATTATGTATGCATTATTGATCATGCAATGTCCGAGTTGTGGGTAACGCTGCACACCGTCTATGCTTTTCTTCAATGTGTTTAGAAAAAAATTAAGAAACCGCGCCTGAGAGCCTCCTCTCGCCCCGCACCCTTCAGCCGTCCACGATGCAAAATTTTTAGTGCCCTGCGCTGCTCTCGGCCATTCCGATAAAATTTGAAGGTTCTTTATTGTTTTAGAATTTTGTGTAGATATTTGTTTTTGTGCGTATTAAATAACCGCCAATTAATTATTGTTTGATGCGCAAAGTACGATGCGACGCTTAAATTAAAATTTCAAATCTCAAATTACTTCATATTAAATACATTGTCAAAAACAAAGCGTTTCGTTGTGACTAATCAATATCGTACATGTAGTCCTATTTTATTAAATGGTTTGAGCAATTACACACCAAATGTAACGTAGTTTTTTAAGCAACACATTTTAATTACTGTGTTTATTGTAAGTATAGTGTATATATGTATCTTTAGTGTATATTAAATAGACAAGATTTTTTATGCCTTAAGGATTTTGGAAAAAATCTTAATTCGAGTAACATTTTAAGTATTTTTCCTTCTTTTATTAAATAAAATAGGATTTAAAATTTTAGGAATTCATTGCAGGGCTCGGTCCGCCCGCATTGTAAGGGTGGTGGGTGCTATCGCTATCCTACTCGGACGCAGCATCACCGGACATTTCGACCGGGCATTTCAATTTTGAGAAAGAGTAGGACCAGACTCGTCCCGCGCACCCCGTTACCCCTGCTGTGACTGTCTCTCTCGCACCTACGACTCACAAAAGGACGAAGGAGCGATAACTTCATCACCGCACGCCGCTCTCGCTCGCACGCATGCCTCGGTGGGGGACGACGTTGCGAATTGTTATTGAAGTCATGCCCCCGAAGGCGACTTTGGGAAGGCTGTCAGTTGCTAGTAAACGTTCACAGCGTCCGTACCCGGCGACTGACCGTGTCGCCTCCGCGTCGCGCCACCTCCTCTACAAACTAACTACATTCACGCTTCGGGTCTTTGAGTTTATAAACAAGTGCCAACTTTTAAACGCACCGACAACTTTTGTGGTTAAGATTGAAAACTTTTATTTACTTAGATTTTTTTGATAAGTGACTGGAATTTGACATGAACAATAAGATAAAAACTTTTTGAAACAATAAGTGTATGTGGACAATACAGTGTGAGAGGAGGAGCAGGAGTCATCAGCGAGACCGGCAGATAGCGGAGTGTTTACGGTGCGCACGTGGCCGCGACGCCCACCGCCCGCCCGCGCGGAAATGCCGCGAAAAACTTTCTTCCAAAACATCCCCGTAGTATAAGTTGAGTTTGCTGCCGAGGGGAGACGCCGCAACCACGACCATGACTAACCTGTAGCGCCCGATTCACAAAGCGCGGACTACATGAACGTCGACACGAGGAGTGTTATTTTTTTATTATTTTTTTTTCGTTGGAGGAGACGGTGCTCTCCGCTGGATTGATGATTTAAATGGCTAACAGTAGCGCTGTTTCGTCGACTTTGCCGGCGAGGGACTATCATTGTAAGGTTTGCGACCTCTACTTGGACACTCTCGATTCGTTAGAAGTTCACTTACAATACCATAAAGAAAATTTGTACGTAAAGTGGGGCACGCAAAACTCACAAAATGATTCCGAGAACAATAACGGCACAAAAGTGAAGAACGATACGACGGTGTCGGCTCCGGCTGACTCAAGCGACAACATGATAACCAAGCCAAGCCCCGAGTTTCAGCAGCGGGCCACGCCGGAGACCTCGGCGCAGTTTCCTCATCCCGCGACACCGCAGAGCTACCACAGTGCACCATCGCCTTACCAGAACCCAGACCAAACGAATTTTTCTCCAGGAGCACAGTTTGGTAATAACTATAGTCACTCTGGCTTTCCGCAAAATCAGCATTCCGAACAAATTAACTGGGAGCAATCACAATATAACCAAGATTATCATAAAGCAAATCGCTTTCATCCATACAATATGCAAGAACGTGTATCCCAAGTATCATCTTCGAGTCCATTGTACGGGCAACCACTAAATCAGCCAACGCCATCACCTTCACCGAACCAATGTGACAAGTGCGGGTTTGTATGCGACTCCGCTGTCCAACTGAATGAGCACTGTAATTCAGCGCATGCGGGCACTAGCTCCACCCCAGCTACTGCTTCTTTGCCTTTTCAACAATTTCCTGGAAAACAATACAATAACGCCGGATATCAAAATGACAGCGCCAAAATTAAAGAAGAGCATGAAGAATCGTCAGATATTTTAGATCTTGATTCTCAAAAAGTGGTTTATCAAGGAAACGACGGTGAACAACAGAACGCATCCTATGATGACACCCCAGCTCCTGGTCGAGAAGTAAACTCCCGCACGGTACCTATAATGCCTTGGGAAGCACAAAAGCTATATAGTAGTCCTCAAATTAACGGAGATGTATCTTTATTCAAAGATCAAAAAATGTTCGGAGAACAAAAAGTATATCCACCGGAAGCCAAGATGTTTCACCCTGATCAAAAATTTCCTTACGGACAAGATAAATTTCTCAGTGTACATCATGACCAGAAGCCATTTATGCACGTGGATCAAAAGATATACCCTGGAGTTCAAATGCCTGCGTTGACTGATTATACTGGTCAGGTTGGGTCTTCAAACCCTGACATGAAGCCGCCTTACCGCCCGTACGACTCTCCAGCTGCACCCCAAATAACAAGCACACAGCCTGCTAATCCCACTTCATCAGCGCTACCATCAATTGGGGGTAAAGGCGCTAACTGGAAATCGAACGAAGCAAGAAGACCTAAAACTTATAACTGTACTGCCTGTAACAAATGGTTTACCAGTTCTGGACACCTTAAACGCCATTACAACACTACTCTGCATAAAAATGCTGTGAGGTCATCAGGTCAACCAGATCCAGCAACAATGCCAATCTCCAATCATCACCACCCTAGTCGTGAGCCATTGCAACCACGCTCACAGCAGCAATCGACAGACTCCAACACCCAGAGCCCCGTCCCCTCTGAGGATGGTCGTAGCATTGATGATGCCACCCTCCAGTCGCACTACGGGTCTCAAGGCTTCGATCGCTCTCACCGAGTTGGCGCCATGCAGTCGAAGTCACCATATACGCATCTTCAACAGGGTAATCTAGATAATAATTTCAGTAATAATCCTTTAGCTAATCACCCTTTACAGCATCAGGCCGGTTCTCATCCGCTTAATATAGGTAGTCAACCGCCGGGTATAGGGAACCCTTCCGATAGTAATCACCAGGGATCTAAAGGCGCTGCAATAACTACAGCCGGCAATCCCCCAAACGGGGAAGCAGGTCCCTCTGTTTCTCAAAATCACCATATGAGGGGCCTGCTATCAGTGTCAACCAGCAATATTTCAACTCCAGTTCTAACTCAGAGTACGCCGGCTCTTACACCGCACACGCTGCCGCCGTTCAGTCATTTGGGTGTCAACCCGTACAACCCGAGGTCTACGGATCCTTTGGGACCTTCGGTTCCGGACCCCACGCACACCCCATTATATTTGGGTCAGAATTTTCAGCAGACTATAGCTCCGAGTTACCCAAACGGGAGTGCCCCCCACGTTATGGATATGGCTACCAACAACCTGCCTATAGCCAGTCAGGCTACTTTTGGTGAATCCACGCCAGAAGTAGTCGAAGTTATGGAACAGGAAACGACTAGACAGCCTGCCAGCGGACGCTTGCCGAGCTTCGCGCAGCTCCAAACGCAGAGCTTCAGCGTTTATGTTTCCAACTATATCACACCACCTAACGTGGGGGGTCAAGTCATTGCCGACGAATCCACCGCCGGCTATATTATCGTGGATCCAGTCCACTCTCCTCTACAATATAACAGTTCCCAAATCGAAATCGGTGGACAAACAATGGATTACGATTACAGTTTTTCCCCTAAGACGATAAAAGATAATGTAGTTAGTTACAATCCATATTACTATGTGGTAGAAGGGAAAACCATAAAACGTGAAGATGAAATCTTTCGGACGGACTCTAGCGAGCTTCAGATATTGAAAATCGAGGACATAATGGATTACGCAAATAAAGAGAACTATGGGTCTCAAATGAAGTCTCCGGCGAGCCCAGAGAGCGCAAAAGCTGAAAATGAGAACCGCAGCTCGCCGGCAGTGACATCGACGGTGAGCACGCCGCTTAGCGAGCGCAACCAGGTGAAGAAGACGGCTCTTGCCACAACGGTGCACAAATGCTACGAGTGCGATAAATTATTCAACAAGGCATGCTACCTCACACAGCACAATAAGACTTTCCATTCGGGAGCTAAGCCATTTAAGTGCGATCGATGCGGCAAACGCTTCTCGGACGATGTCTCCTACGAAGGGCATTACGTAAAGCACGCTGAAAATAAGCCATTTAAGTGTAACGAATGCCCAAAGTCGTTCAATCACAAAACAGACCTGCGCCGACACATGTGTCTGCACTCTGGATGTAAGCCGTTTGCATGCGATCATTGCGGCAAAGGCTTCATCAGGAAAGATCACATGGTCAAACACTTTGATACCCATATTAAGAAAAACTTGCGTTCTTCATCCTCTTCCACAGTGTCGTCTACGTCGTCGTCGTCATCGACGTCTTGAGCGATTGGCATGTCTCTTTATTGTTTTCACGATAAAGAAGGTTTCGAGTGTAAATACATATCATTTATAACTGAAGACAGATAAACATTGCAATAATGTTTTTTAAAAGTATTAATTACTGTAGATCGATTCGGAATGTTTTGTTATAAAGTTATGTCCTTAGAGTCCTTATAGGGTAAAGCGCGGCGCACTCCGGCGCAGTTTTTTGTTGTTAATTCAACCTAACCTTGTATCCGTTACAAGGTGACTTTATATTCCTGTACATCGGAGCGCTAAACGTATAATTACAGCACGTTGGAGTAATATTCCGCGATACATTTAGTCAAAATCATATCATTTTACATATTAATCAAAAAGTAGGTAACGGTCACAGGCCGTTCACCGTTCGTATATCAAAATTACGCCGTACATATCCTATTTGCGGACCGTAGAAGTTTTTACTTAGTTCGGGTATTATTATTTGCGTAATAATTGTTAATGTTAAAAACGCTATGTGTGTATTTTGAAAGTAATTAGAGTAATTTTTGTATATAAGTAAATTGGGACTCGATTGCCAGATTATTATTTTAAGTAGATTCTCATAATTATTATCGATTATACGGATAAATAATATTTTTTTGACTTTAACATATTCGCCGGAAAATTTTTAAATCGCATACATAAAATTTTAAGACTTGTAACAATTTGAAACGTTGGTACAAATTGAAATTAAGTAAATGAAATCGAAAGGATTTCTATTTTATGCCAAAAATATAACTTGATCAATTTATACATATTTATAGAACCTAGTAGTAGGTTAACGTGTACCTATGTCCAGTATACTGGCTGGTGCCAATCGGCGCCTCGTCCCGTGCCCCGGTGGTGGCGGTGCTGCGCTCGCGACTCCACCACGCTCGATTTAGACTCGTTCTCGCGTCCTTGCGTAGGCGATTCTCATGTCTGACGTCCGTTGTACTAGGTCAATGTTACGCGCTTTTGTTCTAGTTGTATGTTTCTCTTCATTATTGCTTATGATTATTGACATTTTTCCGGTGCTTCCTAATTATTTCGCCTGTTAACATTTGTTTTAATATTATAAGCTAGTTAAACTCTTTGTTTAGATGCTGAATTTTTTCATGAAATTAACTAATTTATGTCCAATTTTAGTTACCATTGCGTTATCTGAACGAATTTAGTTTATACATTCCTGTTTCGTTAGTGGTAGGAAAGTAGTCTTCCTGAACGTTGCCAAATTAATTCCGCCAACTGTTGCGAAACAATTTAATTTTAATAGTTTTTAGCCTAATGATAATGAAATTCTCTAGCAATAATTTAAAATAATAATGTAAATGTTTTTTGTATAGTATTAAATAAAATATTACAATTATCGATTTAAGTTTTAAACAAATTATAAGGAAGATCATGACCTTTGTATATAAGCGGGAATGGATGAATTCACAGTATGTTAGGACATATCAAGTAATCATAACACAAGCATCTCAAAATAATCGCCTTGTTACTCATTATTCGCAAGCGTAATTGATCGAGTACATCATGCTGAGATCACGACAGTTGCGCTTGCGCCGATCCGTTTCTTGCCTCTCTGAAAACAACACCTTTATACGTAATAAAAAATAGTTATTTACGTACTATATATATCAGTAACCTTACGAGTATTTTGATGGGCTTGCATCATCTTAATAAATCCATATCGTTGGCTATTCACAGAATTAGTATCCAATATTTCATTTGATACCACTTAATAGTAAATGTGCAATATGAACATTATATCGACTTAATTTTGATAATGTTTGTATTTTTGAATGTTAATTATATTGCAGAAATATTTTTATACAAATAGTATAACACTTACATGTTGAACTACCTCATCAGCTTAACGTAATATAACATAATGTATATCTTATAATATCATATATTCAATTTATACACAGAATAAATATAATTTAAATATTCATATTTTATGTATATGAGACAACAAGCAATAACGTTGGACCGAGATGGCCTACCTCTTAGATACGAATTAACTTATATAATCATAAGTATCTTTGACCGTGTACCAGAGCATGCATCCGCTTCTTGATGACTTCGATGTTTTGAATACTTAGTGTAGCATTTTTGTGGGGTATCAAAGAGATAACAATTTTGCTTAAACATTTACTTGTGATGGGCCTCGTTCATGAAGCGGATGCATAAACATTATACTTAGAAACACGCTTTTGCAGATTTAAGAGATTTATAAATTTTACAACTGTTCATACAAATGCATTTAGTACAAGACAAAAGTTTATACTTGTTGAGAGAATTTTGTGTAATAGAAGTATTTTCTTCATAGCAATAATGTAACCGTGACACAATAATGTAACAAAACTACCTCAAGTAACGAGTAATAGGGTTAGAAGCGTTGTGAGGACGATCTGCGATGCGCCTGCACCTGTATCGCCGCAATTGAAACAAAATACCTCAAATTCCCATTATACTTTTGTTATTCGTAGTCACTGGTATTTAATAGCTGTCGGGTCGCCGGCGTGCCGCGGGATTGTCCAATATAAAATTACTTATATATATATATATATATATATTTTAAGCAGACCTTTGTCTCTTCTCATACTGTTAAAAGCACACACTAGTAGTATCTGGTAGATATTTTAATGTAAATATACATTATGATAAATTTGTTATTTAACATGTTCTATTGTCGTATTCATCGATAGACTTATTTTGAAATAAGTTTAACGTAGTGATTTCAAGTTTATAACAATAGGTGGTAAGGGCGATAAAATGTAAGATTTTTGTGATGATTATATTTGTGTATTAATTTAAAGTTACCAGATGATTTCTGTTACATTGAGTTGAGTAAAATTGGGAGAGTTAATATGATAGGATGTTGTTTTTTTTATATATTGTTCCCTCGTCCAGTGTTGGTACGTAATGTAGCAGACACGAAGGTTGCATGCATTTTCTTGATTTTAATGGAATTTGTTTATTTTAGACGTAGCGCAAAATAAACCACTGTTGTCGGGTGTTGTGCAGGAGGCAATGTCTTAGATGTTCGCTATTTACTTGACTCATGGTAACTGTTCGAAAGCAATAATTATGAGATGAGTATTATTTCTAAGAGATTGTCTGGTGCACAGTACGTAGACTTGTAATAGCATAAGTCTTTATAGTACTATAATTAAGGTGGCAGATCTGTCACACCGCTACGGCGAAAGCTCTTTTGTCATTCACTGCTGTGCGCGCCATTTTTTCATGTATGTTTTAATTTCATGTTTTTTAGGTTTAATTGCACCGTTAAATTATCAGATCTCGCGTTTATTGACAGTTACATGCGGTATGAGGCGTACATGAAAGAATTGCCACAATATCTTGCGAATTTGTATACCTAATTATTTGTAAGCAATGCGAAGAATTGTTGTCAGATTACTACACATCGATCGGTGTGGTGGATGGTGGGGGATTGGTTCGACAATTGTCATTTATTTTTTGTAAGTGGACGACCGGTACCAGGACCCACAGCTCCTCTGTTTATGGAATAAGGTATTGCTGTAGCAGTAGTGATGGTTTCAGATCTGTTTAATATAAATTTAATGTGAAATTGTTGTTTCATTTCCCGCCCCTAGCCAATGCGAATTTTTCCTTTATTACACATTATAAGCTTTTTCTTTTGCTTAACTACACTTGAAAATAATTATGCAGAAATGTAATACACAGTGCGTAGAACGGTCATTTTCTTTTTTAGCGAAAATTTACGAAATGGACGTGACTGACGGTTGATGTATTCGGCATAACTATTTTCAACTATAACTGTTGCAAAAGTGTAAATAATTGGTAATAAACTAAAATAAATTTCTCGGTCACAATAATAAAAAAAAAATTAAGAAAATAAAATAATTTTTACTACATATAATTTTGACTACAACGTGATACAATAATATATAATATTTATATTTTAGATAAACATCAATTACGTGAGGTGTACAATTGTATTAAAATACATACTTCGCCTTAATTTAATAAAAATATTATACAAAATATACATATAAAAATCTTAATTCACAACTCGACAATGAGTTTTACAAATTTTGTGCATAGAAAACACAGTAAAATGCCAATAATGGAGTTAATTTTACAAGTGATACGTATTTTAATGGATGCTATAAAGATTGCAACATACAATGACATTTCGGATTATATTAGCTACAAGGTCTACTAACGTGGGCGCGTTGATATCTTCATAACGCAGAGATGTGTGCCGATTCTAAAATCGTTGGTGGCGTCTGATGGTATTACGACGGCGAGTTCAGCGTGAAATCGGCGTGGCTTACATTTTTCAAGTGTTCAAGTGTCATGAACATAATGGCTTTAATAGTAAGTACTGTCCATACTAGACTTACGTGGACAGGAACGTAATTAATTTTAATTTTACGGAAATTTGGTTTTTGTGTTAAATTATCGTAAATAATTATAAAATAAAAAGAAGCTGATACTTCATTAAAATGAAACTAATTTTCGCCACGCCGATTATACGCCGGTGAAGTACATTGACGGCGGCAGCGTGGAAAAATAGTGGTCAGAAGCAGCGCGGTGCATTGTATAGACATGACGTTTAGTCAGAATAACAAAACACATAAAAGAAAACAATCTTATCACCACTTTTTTGTATAGATTATTGTCACACATTTATATTATACTAATGCAACGTTTTGTATGGACACAATGCTGACCCGTCTAGTGTATTTCAACCTTTCGATGGCGGTTCGGTAGATTTCGTGCTGGTAGGAGACGAGTCTGCGTACCCAGGGTTCTTTCATACATTCTAGGGGCCTTAACGAACAATGATGATGACAAAAACGGAATATGAGGGCCGCAGATATGACAGCACCTTCCCGACATTGATTAAGTAAGTATTGATTATGTTTCGTAAGTACAATGGAAAAAAAGAAAAAAAAAAAACAACTACTTTGGTATTTAGATTACAAACTCAGGCGTTGTACTAAAAATACAGAAATGATCTAAAACTAGGTATCTTTTATCATTATAACACTATATGTAACATACATTAGTAAAGACAATAATATTACCCACTATTTTATGACCATACGATGACAAAACGAGAAAATAAAATTTTTAACAAATAATGTAATGGTTAGCATGTGTACCCGATCAGGAGCATGATTGAATTCAACTCTAACGCTTAAAATATGAACGGTATGAAGTTCAAAGTATCAAACCTGATATGCTCTTGACTATACGTAAAAAGTATGTAATATTCATAGAATAAAATATACGTACGTAAGTACAGCGGAAACGAAAAAGAATACACAATGGGAAGAAGTTTATAAGCGGAAGAGAGGCAATTAATAGTACAATCCCTACGCTTTTTCACAATTGTTTTCTAACTTAACTTCGAAGTTAATCGTTACAGTTGATTTGGTTTTACATCATGTTCAAATGCAACTGATTCAATAATCAGCCAACGCCTAATGGTGCTTCCCGAATCACACCAGGGCGGCAGAAATGAAGAGATGACTGCGGTCAGGAGCGTCCCTGACAATAGCACAATAAATAACCTACTTATTTGCTACTACATTTACATTTCATTCTTTATTTTTTTTAAATGCTTGACTTTGTTTGTTCTATACAAAAGACATCAATGCGGTTCACGCCCGCGTGTTATTTTTTTATTTCACTTATTTATTTTGCATTTAATTCATTAATTATCATTGATATCAATTTAAATTATATTATTCAGACAAGAGGTGTTATGTATATTGTAGAGATATCGGAGGTATTAAAGCTCGGTTTAAGTTGAGCAAAGTATGTAAATACGTCATGGCAAATCGACATCGCCAAACGTAATTCAGCAGTGTTGACAGTGTTGAGAATGCTCAAATTGGATAAAGTCCGACCGAATCGACCTCTGTGAAGTCAGCCTAGTGGCTGCACATCTTGAGTACTGTTCCTGTAATAAACATATGGAAATTATTTTTCAAGATGAAATAAATTTTAAGTTTCACTTAACGAGTAACTTCTGAGTGTACACATAACTATAGTATATTATATAAATTATTATAAATTTGAAGGTCATTGACATAAGGAAAATACTTCATATTTTCAATAATAACAAAATTCTTCACGCGATTTATCGAGAACCATTCGCGAAATGATTTTGATTTGAAAGAGGACACCAGTATTAGTTCCATTTAAATATGAAAAAAATATTCCACCTCTAAGGGTGGCAAAGTAGGGGATGAATCTATTTACGCGCAGTTTCCGGTATCCGATTGTTAGCTTTTTAGTTTCAGTTGTATGTACGTATAAGTAAAGTTTGAAGTCGATTCCTTTTTTTTTTAATAAAAATTATATATTTTATTTAATTTATTTTATTTTATTTATAAATAAACATATATGTTTAGGTGTGGTGTGACCCGTAGATATAGAAAAAAAGGGACGTGACACCCCTCCACCACGTATGTATGAAACTTCTGTAGTGAAGTTCGAGGAGGTTTTACGGAGAAAGAGGAAACTACGTAGGCAGTGCATGTTGTACGTCATAGCAAAATTGAGCCTAATAAGCGCATTTTCGCACTTCATCCGATTCCTACTCGTTCCGAATCCAAGACTATACAAATCTAAAAAACTTGGACCCACTTCGGATGTCGCTTATGCACTAAGCCCGTTTCGAATCCCAGAAAATACCAATATAGCTTGTACTATGATTCCTATGACATTTCGGAGTCGTAGTGCGCAAACGCTGACAGTTAAGTTGGTTGACGATCGCAGCGCAAACATGTCGGAAAAGTTAATTGTCATTTCAAAGGCATGTGAAGCGCCCAATCACTCTACCCCTGAAACGATTATAGTTTAACATAGGTACATTATTGTAAAATCTGAGTGGGTAATGAAAGCGAAGGTGGAAAGGCGGTTGCGGCGGCGGCGCGCACGCACAGCCTGCAGCGGACGATCGCCTTTGACTCGCGGCCGGCACGACGACCCGCACCGGTTTCGCTTTCGTCGAAGGTCAACACTGAATCAGAGCCGGCGTGCGCTGCGTTTAATTGTGGAATATCGATCTCGTTACAACTCTCTTATTTGGATTTGCGCATCATTTTGGGTTGCCGTAAATCTGATTCGTTTAGTCCCTACAAATTTTACATTAAATCATTACTTATCCGTTTAAAGGCAAAGCGTGTTAAATAGTGTCTTAATGTAATGGGGACGAACGTCACCTTTTAAAAATCGGATTAATGGACTTAGCCTAGGCAGAAAAAAAATAGGGTGTATTAATTCTATTTGTACACGTCCAGGAGAAAGCTAGGTTTATTTCAGGAGCAAAACTAATGATTGAAACTAACATTTTTCCGAAAATTTTCATTGATATTGCAACGAAAAGGAGAATAAAATAGAGAAGCTAAATTCAATTCCCAAAAAATAAAGTAGGCTTTGCATTTTTTGGAGCTCTGTTTGAATATTTTCGAGGCTATGATAGAGGCTTG